ATATATTTATATCAGTTTGTCAGTGTGCTTTTTGCTCTAAGGCCCCATATGAATTACCACGTTATCTCACGAATGTTCAATACCCAGCTTGTTTATTACATTTACAGGTCAAAGGATCAATCTGACAGGCACCATCCATCTATTTACCTATTTAATGGAATTGGACCACCAAATCACCGCTTTTGATTGGCTGCCGTCCAGGCAATCCGAACGCTGCCGTCCAGCGCGAGACGTGGGGGGGGGGGGTATCGAGGGAGCAGGGGGGGGCACGGGGGGCGGGGCGAGGGGGTGCTTGGGAGGGGTGACAAGGTGGGTGGTGGACAACCCGCGGGTGGGGCAGGTGGGGGCATGTTGAGGGTGGAGGTCGTCCAACAGAACGTCAGCGATAGTGGCAATCTGAACCGGTCCTGGGGTCCTTCCCTAGGTCGACTCAGCCGCAAATGTGTACCTGGTGCGGTGTGTAGTAAACATCGTCACTGGGGAGACAAAGGCGGCCGGGCGTGATGCTGGCCACCCACTCCCCTCTGTGCCGTGGCGGCCTTCATATGCGGTGCTACTCGCTAACAGCACTTGCCCCTATACAGCCTGCTAAGGCTACACGGGGGATCTTTGTGTTCAACGAAGGATGCTGCAAGATCGGTATTGATTTTTTTGCGTCTGCCCTCGGCGGTGCCAGATTATCCTCGTAGCACAAGTAGCTACTACAGATGATGCTACGGGCCCCGCATTTTCAAGGGCCCCGCGCTAAATGCTTTCAAGCTACAAATTCCGGTTCAGTGATTCTGCACTTGCTTTATAACTATAGCACTATACCGCCTTCAACTTTTATGAACGACGGGGTGTTGTATCGATTTGTTGTATTATCTGGCTACATTGCAAATGAAAAAATATAATTACTTCACTATGCAAGTAAAAAAATTGTGTCTTAATATAATAAAAAATAATAATTTATGGCCCCTTAATAACATATGCTACAGACCTCGCACTAGCTTAATCCGGCAGTGGCACTCCGTACAAAAACTGTACTTCTCATTTAACCGTACGTCCATCGAATACAGAAAAGCATAGTTTTCGTTACCATCAGTGCCTCCCTCCACCAACTCCACCCCCCCCCCCCACTCTCCCCCTCCTCCCTACCATCACCACCTATCACATGTATTTATTTTTTGGTCGCCAACTGAAACCGAGCTTAAAGCCATCTCTGGTGGCTTTTACAGCTTTGCCAATTTGGCAAAGTTGCGGCTGAAACGAATCCGCGTGAGCATGGGCTAAAGTATGAACTGCTCAGCGGGGGTGGGGGGGGGGAGAGAATTGTATGCAGATGCTTGGACCACCCCCATCCCCTTCCCCCACCGCCACCTCCCGAGCAAGAGACCTTGGAACAACAGATGACTGGGGGGAGGGGGTAGAGGCTGCGGTTCAAGTTTTGATTAAAAAAAATTTCGCCGGTTTATTTCTCAACACATCTGAGCAACGCAACTCTCCGGTAAGTGTCGTTCTTACCGGATCGTCTTTACGAGAGTCATCTTGAACCCCACCTACCCCCGCCCCATCTCAACATTGGGACGGCCTCGGTGGCTAGGAGATGTTAACTACTTCGCCTGGTATACAGGAGGTCGTGCGTTCGATTCCGACCCTGACGCCTGCTCTCTATATTTGGATTTTCCATGTTTTTATCGCTCTCTCCTCGTGGTCTCGTTTCAAATCAGCATTCGTTAAGAGTATTTGGCTACGATACATTTTCCCACGATAAGCCACTTCGTTGAGCTATCATTTGTGGCCAGGTCACTTCTGAAAAGGAGCTGTATAGCTCAGTGGGCCTTACCTGGTAAAAAAAACATAGTTTAGTTTTAGTTTATTAATGTGTTTATAGTGATTTGCTTACCTTTCCTATACTTTGCACTCCTATAAGTTTTTTTGGGGGGATTGTTTGTTGTTGTAACTGTCTGACCCACTCCTAATGGTCATCGATGGGGAAATATTAACTATCTCGCCTGGTGTACAAGAGGTCGTGCGTTCGATCCCCACCCTGACTCCTGATGTATATTTGGAGTTTGCGTGTCTCTCTCATCATCACCACGGTGGCTAGGAGATCTTAACTACCTCGCCTGGTATACAGGAGGTCGTGAGATCAATTCCGACCCTGACGCCTGTTGTATATTTGGATTTTCCATGTTTTTCTCTCTCTCTCTCCACGTGGTCGCGTGGATTTTTCTCTGGGTCCTCCAATTTTTCCCCTGGCGTTTAGAATCAACGCGTTTGACAGCAGCCGTCAATGTCCACACGACGATAAGCCACTTTCGTTGAGCTATCATTCGTGATAGCCAGGTCGCTTCTGACAGAGCCAATAACTCAGTGGGCCTTACCTGGTAAAATAATAAACAGTTGAGTTTTATATATTCTTGGTTCTTTCGGTAAAGTCACGTAGAAGGGAAACAATAAAATAATAAAAATATATCAAACAATAAAATTATCACGACGTTTCGACTGCAACACAAGCAATCATCATCAGGTGTGAAAACAACAGCAAGAAAGCTTGAAAAAAGTGGCGGTCAAATTTTCTTGCTGTGGTTTTCACACCTGATGATGATTGCTTGTGTTGTGGTCGAAACGTCGTGATAATTATGTTTTATATTTTATTATTTTATTGTTTCCCTTCTACGTGACTTTACCGAAAAAACCAAGAAAATGAATCCCTGCAGTCACGAAAGCTTTAAATCAAAAGTTGAGTTTAAGTTGTAAGCATGAAACCGTCCGCGTCTCAATGCTCGAACGAGTAGAGCGCTGGAGATCATTAGCGACGCATAGCCCTGAGCCCGCGGTGCAAATTCCAAATTCCTGTGGCGGTGGGCCAGGGGTCTTTATTTGATCATCACCGCCGGCTTTTCCGTCGTGGAGATTCTTCGTCCAATTCACTCGGGAGGCCCCGAGGAGGAGCTGCGATCACGAGTGTCGTGAGCGTGGTGCCTGGTGGTGGCGGTGGTGGTCTGTTGTTATTCGTGGAGCCTTGCGGGGTGAGGGGTGGTTGAGTGGGTGATGGCAGTCCGGTGTCGTTCGCACGAAGATGAGCGCAAGGTTTGTTTGTTTGGTTTTTTCTCGTGGGGCCGAACGAGGCGGTTGACGTTGGCAAAAAAAAAAAGAAACTCGGGCATAACGCCAGCCAGCGGTGCCGTCCACACACAATGTTCCCCCTGCGTGGAAACTCGTCCTCGATCTCAACACCGTGCCAGCGCTGAGCAACGTCCGAGGCAGCTGCGGCTGCTGCAGCCCCGGCCTCCGTCCATCGCAGATTCACCTTCCCTCGCTGCGCCACCCTCATCCCCATGAAACTAAAACTACTTTTTATTTTATTTTTTGATTTTATTTTTATTTTACCAGGTAAGGCCCCCCACTGAGCTGCAGCTGCGTAGCAGCTCTTTTTTTTGTTTTGTTCCGGAGCGACCTGGCTATCACAAATGATGGGACGACGAAGTGGCTTCTCGTCACGTGGAAATGCATTGCAGCCAAATGCTCTCTGAACGCGTGACGTTGACGCTAAACTATGGAGGGGAAAGACTGGGGTATCCGGAGAAAAGTCCACGGGACCACGGAGAGGGAGAGAGAGAGATAGAATATGAAAACTCCAAATATAGAGCAGGTGTCAGGGTCGGAATCAAACCCACGAGCTGATGTATACCAGGCGAGGTAGTTAACATCTCACCACCGTGGCACTCCATCATCGTACACACCCGGCCTCTCCAGATTTTGTAGTCCCCCCACCCCACCACCCTCTCTCTCCCCATCTCTCTCTCTCCTGACCAGATATTTTGTTGAAATGCCACAGTCCCTCTGTGCCTCTTTCCCACTGTACAACCGGGCCGTGCCAGGGCCCCATCGAGCCAGCCACTGCAGAAGCCGAGCAGTGCCGCAGTTCATATTCTTAGCTCTTTCAGTAAAGTCACGTTGAAGGAAAACAATAAAATAATAAAATATATATAAAACAATAAAAATTCTCACGACGTTACGACCACAACACAAACGGTCGTCATCAGGTGTGTCGGTTTAATAATAAAATATATATATAAAACAATAAAAAATTCTCATGACGTTTCGACCATAACACAAACGGTCGTCATCAGGTGTGTCGGTTTGCATTAATAGTTATAAATAAATTAATGCAAACCGACACACCTGATGACGACCGTTTGTGTTATGGTCGAAACGTCATGAGAATTTTTATTGTTTTATATATATATTTTATTATTTTATTGTTCCCCTTCAACGTGACTTTACCGAAAGAGCTAAGAATATGAATGACTGCAGTCACGAAAGCTTTAAGTCAAAGTTTAAGTGCCGCAGTTGTTCACGTGGCACGTGTCCTCACGGCGTACCGGCTGACCGGGGTCACACGGTAACAAATGTCTCGAGTCGCACTTCGTGTATCGCCCGCACTATTCATTGATTTCGTTCGGCTGATGTACGTGCAGAGCAACAACTGCAGTTTCACATTAAGGTGGCCACGCCCAGATGGCCGCATCAGGGGTTTGTGGAGTGTTATCGCTGTGGCCATTTCTCCTTCGTCGTACGCCGCACGCTCTTGTTCTGGATGATCACAGTCGCACCGCTACTGGAAAGTTTAACTTTTTTTTTTTCCATTTGTGCATCAGCTGTCCGCATCTGCCATGGTTTGTGCAGTGGGTGCGGTTTAGCGTGGACCCATGAGCTTTGCGGAAGATCAAAGCCCCAGGGATCTTCTGCGACATTTGATGAAAATTACGAATTAACCCTGCGCCACGATCCTGCTTGGCCCCGGGACAAATGCAGAGATGTCTCGTTGGTGCCAGCGTATATCACGGCTCGTTTCCGGCTCGGCTCTTCGAATTGCGAAATGATAACCCACGGTTTACCGAGAGTGCCTCGCGGCGGCACGGCTCAGATGTGCCAGTGGAAAAAGAGAAAAGAACGCTCCTCTCGTTTGTGAATTCCGTGCTCATGCGGAGGGAGGGGGGGGGGGCTCGTACCGATTGCGAAGCTGCGGAGGAGCGTGTTGAACTGGAAGACGCCGTAGAGGCAGAAGAGGACGGCCGCCGCGGCCATGATTTTGAGCAAATGCCATCGCGACTGCATCTTCCTGCGTGCAACTCTGCCAACGAGACAGCACGGTGTCGTCAACAACAACAACACCAGCAACAACAACGACGACGACGACGGCAGCAACAGCAGCGGCAGCGGCAACAACAGCAACGACACAAACAATGACGACGTACAATGCGCGCGCAGTTTTTCGTTCGCTCTCTCGGGGAGAGAGAAGGAGAACGAGGAGGGAAAACGAGTCGGAGGCTCGCGAATCAGCGGGCAAGCGGCGAGGCAGCCAGATCCGGTGCCAACAATTGCCCAAGCTCTGGGTGTCCTCGATTATGATGTAATAATAACGACAGTCGCAACAACAGCAACAATAGCATCCGTAACAAGAGTCCCCCTTGTTTAACGCGCAGTCTTTCGCGACCAATATTATCCACGATAGAGGTTTTTTTTTTGGGGGGGGGGAGGGGGGGGTTGGATTGCGTAACTATATCAATGTGTCGTTAAAACTCGCCACCGCCCGACACAGCCAATTAGTAAGGGTTGTCACGCAAACAAAACATGGCAATTCGTTACTGGTACAGCAACGCCGGTTGTGTGTTGGAGAGCAAATCCACGACATTCACAACAACAAGGAGTCTCCCTGCTTAAATCGGCATTGGCTTGTACCCCTCCCCAAGAGTAAGCCCTAAGCTGGCGGTGGAAATTCCACACTCACGCGGCGGGGGACCATAGGAATACCACCGCTCATTTCCCACCAAGTGGCACGTGCTCGTGACGTGGTACTCATTTTATCGATGCTGATGGGATGGTGATGATGATGGTTATGATGATGATGGTGGTGGTGGTAATGATAGTTATGATGGTGTTGATGATGATGTTTATGATGATGATGGTGGTGATGATGATGTTGATGGTGGTGATGATGACGATGGGATTTATAATGACCTTGCTGAGATTCAGGTTGCGAAACGCGATCTCCGCCGCTCTCGACGAGCCGAGATGAACGCCTTGCGCAGCACCGCAGGGCGCTCCTGGTGTGATTCTTTTTTTTTAGTTTTATGAAACGCACGCATTGTGCTTGGGATGCACACGCAATCGAATCGGGCGGTCGTCCAACGCAATTTATTAGCCAGCCACATCATCAATAAGGCGGGCAATGCGATCCGTGCAAAGGGTGAGGGGCTGAGTGAATTGAGTGAGGTTGGGGACTGGCTTCCTCATTACATTAATGCACAGCGATAGAGTTCGGGTTGCCACCTCTAAAGTACACACGCGCGCACACACACAAAGTCCAGAGCAAATGCACACGCGTACGTACGTACGTTGAACCTCTTTTGCACCGTTACGTAGCCAACCGTGGGGAAAGACAACAAACTAAACACCAAAAGCAGTTCTAAAGAGATGAGTTTTCAATCGAGATGATTATTTAAAAGTGCATAGCCCACAGTGGCTTCCTGCTATCGGAAGGGAGAGCGTTCCAGACGGCCGCAGAAGCGCATCTGAAAGCGGGCGATGATGCGGTGACCACCGCCTTTGTTCGATGGCTCAGCCAAGATTGATGGGAAGGAGAAAAGCTGAACGCTCCGTTCTGTGCAAAGGGGCCTTCTTCTCAAATGAGCACTGAGTATGCAGTGCTGGCACACCCTTAGGTCGACTCAGCCTTAAATTAGTACAGCACCTGTCTGTTTCGGTGTGTAAGCATCGGCACCGGGCAGACAAAAGGTGACCGTGCGTGGTCCTGGCCACGTGACCCCTCTTGTGCGCCGTGCCGGCCTTCACACGTGCTCGCTAACAGCACTTGCCCCAACGACCCGTGTGTGCTGCACGGTTAATCTTTAGCTTTTTGTGCGTGTGTGCGCGCACACACGGCCAGTGTGTGTGTGCGCTTTGAGATGCTGCTCTATTTAGATGTTAAGTAAATGCACGTGGAGTTGTATTGCATCTTGCGGAGCATTCGTGAATAAATGCTTCACGCTGTGAAACCAACAACATTGGTATACATTTCTCCCCAGGCACAATATCGGTAATTGGAATAAAGTATTAATCTAATCCTTGCCTTATTCCTCTAGGTCAGCTCAACCCACAATCATTGCCTGGTTTTAGCACGGACCACATTAGCCCTTGCTCCAATAATCTATAAAGCCAGACTCACAGGGCCACGTACATGCTGCTGTTTATCTTCATACATTAATTGGAGATTGCTGCTGCGTTGACAGTTGTGTATACGCACAATTAATAACAATAACAACAAAAACAATTAAACACATCCGTCACTAATTGGATTGTGGCCTGAATAAGGAAGAAAAATATTGAATTGGTGACGTTTCAGGCAATGACCCTTTTTGGCAATCCCCCTTCTTCATAGTACACTTCTTCACATCACGCTATGTAGAATTGCCATTGCAATGTTGTTGTTGTTGATGAATGTGTGCTTGTTGTCTTTGATAATTGTGCTTTTGTCCTTGAAGTCACGCCAAGTCCCTTGTGGGCCCATGCCCTTAACCCTTCAACAATGCGAGTTCAACTTAACCCCGATCAAGTTTGGAGAGCTGCATGAGAGTTCAAAAGAGCTCGCAAGCAAACACCGCCTTGTTGTGAAAGACCCAACGCTTTGATCTCCCACGAAGCTTTTTATGGTCCACCCATAAACCGCATTCACCACCGCACACACCATTGCAGTAGATGCGGGCAGTGGGTGCGACGGTGGTCATCAAGAGCAGACCGTATACAACGTGCAACGTCACAGGTACGATGGAGACATCAAAGCGTTTGCACGCGGTTATCTGGGCTTGAACACAACCTAAACGTGAGAAGTTGTCGTCGTGCGTCTACATCAGTCGTACGAAAGAAGAAGCATAAGAAAGCAACTGATAAAGCAGCAGCAGCAACAACAGCAATCACCAAATACTTCATGAAGCTAAAGAGCAGCGTCTGGGTTCGTTATCCTCTTTGGCCAGATAGAGGGGGCTAAACGGATACGCCATGGGTTCGTAGAAGAGACAACAGACGTGGTACGGGAGGATGTGGAGGAGCCGAGTGTACTTGCCGATGACTGGTATCAGCAGTGTCACAATCGTCACATGTGGCGGGGTCTCGTGAAGGCTACACAGGGGAGATCTTTGTCTCTGCGACAAGGAAGAGGAGACTGTCTCTTCTCGACGTCAGACATTTCGCAAAACACGAGGACAATGTTTCAACATATCCCCGCAGCACCGCATGCCTCCGTGCCAATGCAAAGTCACGGGCACGTGTGGGTCTGCCTGCCGGTCTGGCTTTCTCTGTTCGCAGGCAAAATGAACCCATCCGGCTCGCAGGGGAGATGCGTTTGTGTCCGTGAAAGTTGAAGGCTTTGCAAAAACACGCATCATTTTGCTTTTCCTCACGCCGGAATTCCATCTTTGCGTCCTTACCCCTCTGCGCGCGTAATGTTTGCTTTACTTTATATGCACGGCAAACATGGGACGTTGCGATAACGTTGGTCCAACGGTTCCAACCACATACCAACGAGTGTCACGTGATGAGCAAGGTTATTCTCAGAACTTGTCCATAATAAAGGGCTTTTTTTTGTTTGGGTAAATATAAATGTGTCGTTAGCCCACCACTACCACCCAACACAGCTGATTAGTTACAGGCTTTTCAAGGAAACAAAACGTGACAGTTAGTTACTACTTCAGCACACCGGTGCGTTGGAGAGTAAACCCACAACATTTACAATTTCAGCACTGTGACGTTTAGCTGGTGATTACAACAGCCAGCTTCATCAGAAGATTTACCAGAATTGTGAAGACGTCTTCCTGCTTTGGTCTTAAATCGAGTAAAGGTGATCTCATCACTGAAAGCCTATCACGTGCGATGAGCAGAGGGGGGTTCACATAGTCATATAAATTAGTCATATAAATTAATCATGTAAATTAGTCATATAATCTTGATTTGAAGCTTTGGTGACCGCAGGAATCCATACTCTTTGGTTATGTCCGTAAAGTCACGTAGGTAGAAAAATAAAATAAAACAAAAAATAAAATATCACGACGTTTCGATCTCAACACAAGCCGTCGTCCTCACGTGGAAAAAATAATAATCCAGCAGTGGAACTGCTGATAAAGCGAGAGAGCAGCTACAACAAGAGGTTATATACAGTGAGGGAAAAGGGTATTCGATCACCTGCTAATTTTGTACGTTTGCCCACTGACAAATAAATGATCAGGCTAAAATTTTAATGGTAGGTTTATTTGAACAGTGAGAGAGAATAACAACAAAAAAATCCAGAAAAACGCATGTCAAAAATGTTATAAATTGATTTGCATTTTAATGAGGGAAACAAGTATTTGACCCCCGCTCAATCAGAAAGATTTCTGGCTCCCAGGTGTCTTTATACAGGTAACGAGCTGAGATTAGGAGCACACTCTTAAAGGGAGTGCTCCTAATCTCACCTTGTTACCTGTATAAAAGACACCTGTCCACAGAAGCAATCAATCAATCAGATTCCAAACTCTCCACCATGGCCAAGAACAAAGAGCTCTCCAAGGATGTCAGGGACAAGATTGTAGACCTACACAAGGCTGGAATGGGCTACAAGACCATTGCCAAGCAGCTTAGTGAGAAGGTGACAAGAGTTGGTGCGATTATTCGCAAATGGAAGAAACACAAAAGAACTGTCAGTATCCCTTGGCCTGGGGCTCCATGCAAGATCTTACCTCGTGGAGATTCAATTATCATGAGTACGGTGAGGAATCAGCCCAGAACTACACGGGAGGATCTTGTCAATGATCTCAAGGCAGCTGGGACCATAGTCACCAAGAAAACAATTGGTAACACACTACGCCGTGAAGGACTGAAATCCTGCAGCGCCTGCAAGGTCCCCCTGCTCACGAAAGCACATATACAGTGCATACCCGTCTGAAGTTTGCCAATGAACATCTGAATGATTCAGAGGACAACTGGGTGAAAGTGTTGTGGTCAGATGAGACCAAAATGGAGCTCTTTGGCATCAACTCAACTCGCCGTGTTTGGAGGAGGAGGAATGCTGCCTATGACCCCAAGAACACCATCCCCACCGTC